ACATGTGGAAACATGCACAAGTCGGAATAGTAGACACTTTTTTTGCCCACTCAAGTCCTGCATGTTCTTAAAACTCTGCTCCAAGCTTTTCATTTTTCGAGCCATTTCTTCCTACTCGGGATTTTAACTGTTCTTTCTAGTTCAGCCCGAAGCTCATACTATAGATGTTGGGTGTACGAGTCCGGAATGATGTAAGTCATATCCTGCTGAAATTGCGGACCTTGGAAAGTTAATGTTGGGGGTTCAAAACACGACTTGGGTACAGTTGGTTGTGACGCGGTAAAGACCGTTACAACGAAGAACAATGCTAGAGATGCCCTAGAAATTGGCGCCTGGAGGCGAACCGCAGAAGGCATACCATGACCGTTAGACGACATTGAAGGGTACCTGCATGGGATGAAAGGGTTAGACACGGGGACATTGGTAGATCCACCCGACCTAGGGATCAACTCAGGGAACCCATGAATTGCACTTGGCGGTTCCCTACCATTAGACCAGGCATCCTACATTTCCATTATGCGAAGACGCAATATCCTGTTCTCTTCAGCAGTTCCTGATTCAGGTTCTAGAATAACCGATGTCCGGCTATCCTCAAGATAGATAATTGGTAGATGACTTTCGGAGGCCATAGGGACTTTGCCTTTAGATATTGTGAAGTATGGATGAGAAGCCAGATTACCAACAAGAACCAACCACCTGAATAAAACCTGGCTAAAGGCACGCACAACAACCTTGTTAGTTTTGAAACATTTAACAGATAGAAAATCGCACATTGGGATGCAATGCACCTGAACAGTTAAACGTTTCTACCATATGTTTGCAATGGTTGCGTGTTTCATCCCGGCCTTTTAAATGTCTGTACTCTTTACTTCCACTTCTCGCTCTCTTTTTCCTTTTGTTTTGTCACTCCTCGTTTTTCTCTTTTGTTTTTGTAACTCTTTCTTTCTTTTTTTTTTAATTTATTTTCTCTCTTTTTTGTTGATTTTTGCTCAGATTAATTATGGCTATGATCGTATCCGATGAGGATTGCCTATGTATCATGACGCTGCATGAATCAGACCATTACGTAGTTCAAGGAAATAAAATAAAAACAAAGAAATTTTTGGGGTTTTTAATATTTCATTAATAACAGACTCTTTTTGGGTTTTGATTACAAGGACTCGAAATGGACGAAGGACAAACAGACTTGACGTGAGAAAAAGGTAAACTACAGACTCAATAATTAAGAACACATATGACTCTCAAACGTTATCCTAGGGGCCCGGGTGACTTCAGTCGGTCTCGGCGTGAGCTCGCTTGTAATCTTTTCCTGAAGGAACTCTAGGTCGGCCATGACCTGGCGAGCGAAAGACAGCACCAAAGTGAAGAACATAGCTCTAGTCATATTCTCACACTCATTGCATTTCATCGCAGTGTAGTCAGCTATTTCTTTGATTCTAAGCTTAATCGCACCTTTCTACTGGAGCAATCATCCAATCTGTTATTCTCGGACTACCTCGACTTGCATGGCTCTGTTATTCCAATTTTGTAATTTCAACACATCCTCTTCAAACTGGTTGATCAAGGAATGGCAATGCTCCTTCTCCGTCCTAAAGTCTCTTACTTGTTGGCCCGTTTCGTTCTCAAAAGCTGCTAACTCTTTCCTTGACTGCGACTTCTTTGTCGTAACTTTGCTTTGCCTGGCAAGCTAAGTTTGTCCATTTTTCTTCATCTTTCCCCAATTGGACCATCCTTGCCCGAGCTTTTGCTAAATCTTTTTCGGCCTTTATTAGATCGACCGCATAGTCGTGCACTTTTTGCCTCAGGTTTTCTATGATTTTTTGGTCCCTTTCACTTCTTACAAGCGTCTCAGCAGCTATTCTCATTTCCCGGAGTTAGGCTCGGAGGGCCTCGTTCTCACGGGTCAGACTTTTCTTTTCACCTCACCTTCTTGTGCTTGTAAGAATTTGAGGTTTCTCAGCTTTTCTTCTAAAGTATGAATGGTTGCTTGGTATCCCTTTTCCTTTTCACCCCAGGCCAACCGTTCTTGGATTTTATCATCAAAAGCTTGAACATGCGGCCTTTTGGTGGGCCTTTCTGGCTCAGGCTCAGGCTCATCATCTACACGAGACCTTTTCCCGAACCATATAGCGTAACCTAGAACTACCTCACCTTTCACAGGATCCGGTACCTGGGTATCATCTTTCAAATACCGACAACCATCCAAAATTTGCTGGACTAAAGTCTCGGGTAATGGGGCTTCGGGGTGTAGCTCAATCACTTGCACACTCAAATCTTCATCCTCAGGCACTACTTGGTACCTTCCTAGCTGTCTTAAAACTCTCTGAGGTGCATACGGTTGGACACTTCTCAAACTCATCACCAGTAGATAACTTTTTAAGGTCGACATGTGTATCACTTCCCTTACCGGGAGCCATCCCAAAGTCAACTCAATTTGACTTGCGTTTAAAGATTTTAAGTGGGATATCCATGCTTCCAACCCTTCTGGCGAATTGTAATTTTTTACTCTTTCCTCGTAATTCCCGATGAGGTTGTTCTTGCTCGGGCCATAGCTCATGAATTTGAGGTGATGACAGAGATGCTCAATCAACCACATCTGTAATAAAATATTGCACCCTTCGAAGAATTTTGCCCCGGATATACACAATGTTAATGCCCGATAATGTCTGATAGAATAATCGGGGCAAGAGTTTGATGTTCTTTGGTAGTGAGGACATGCACAATTCTGGCTATGTGGATATCAATTGTCCGCTTTTCATTTGATAAGACCATAATTACCAGAAATGCCACTATGAAGGCAAAGCGACGGTGAACCTGCCATGTGTCCTTGTTCTGCTTGTTGTTAAGGCCTTTTTCATGCATTTTTAAACCATTTGGCTGTCCAAACCTGGAGTACAAGAAGTAGAAAGAACAACATCCTCTGTCTACATTGGTTTTTCTAATTTGCTTACTGATATTCAGAAGATCGAAGAATCGATGCACATAGAGAGTCCTTGGGAATATGAGTTTCTGGTTTCTCAAATCCCTGTCGAAACTGGAATATCCAGCTATTTCTTCCAAGGTAGGAGTAAGCTCAAAATCCGTGAAGCGGAAGACATTGTGAACGGGATCCCAAAAGGTCAGTAGTGCCTCAATCAAATCATCCCATGGTTAACTTTCATAATATTTGTGAGGGCGCCCAAGTGCTTTGTTACTCAATCCTGACCATCTTGCCCCAAGTCATACCACCACATCTAAAGCTAAAGTGGAGCCTGGTCTATAACCGTTAACAGCGTGTTCTGAATAGTGCTCATTTTGTACCTGTGGATGGTTAGGGTTAAGGTTGACACTAGTTTCAAAAGACAAACCAATGGACTCTTTTGCAAAACAATCTTTCAATTTTCTAAGAAAAACCAAAAGGGGTGGCTATTTATGCAACATTGGCCAAAGCAAGGATGGCTATTTTTTGCAACAATGGCCCCTTCGTACTTTCAAGGAAAGTTTTATGGCCGGGGGAGGGCGTTATGGTAAAAGTGATGCCCAATTGACAGACATGTTCGTTCTTGCGAGAATAGCCCTTCGACAATTTTGAAGATGTTCTGAGGCTATTCTGACATAAACGACTCAGGATGCAACCGGTGGGTCAGCTCACTTATTTAACAAAACGCTAGACACATTTCTTTTTTTTGGTTATTTTTGTAAAAATGAGGTCAAACCCTATGGAGGTTGCCTACATATCTCACATCCAGTGAGAATCAAACCTGTGTAGTTCGGTCAGTTTTAACAAAACAGGGAAAACCTGACACTTGAAAATTTTGGCTTATTTTGAAATGACTTTTCTCTTCTTTTTTTTTCAAAACTTCAGCAGAGTTTTAGGATTTTTCAAATACCGAGATTTTTAAAAATCAGATAAATTTTCACTCTCACCTCTCACTCCTACTTTTTCTCCGAGCTATCTCCACAAATAGCCCGTAAGAAGTCCCCAACTCAACCTCTCGAGCCATGGTGGCCTGGATACCAGAGTGCAAACCTGCAACAAACCTCCGCACTCTCTCTGTATTGGTAGGAAGTATCATAAGTGCATGGCGAGACAACTCAGAGAATCTCGCCTCATAGTCGGTCACCGATATCTAACCCTGTTACAGATGCTCGAACTGAAACCACAACTCTTCCCTCTGAGAGGGTGGAATATATCTGTCCAAAAAGAGGTGTGTGAACTGATCCCAAGTCATAGGAGGAGAACCTAATGGTCTGCCGAGAAGATAAGACTGCCACCATCTACGGGCCCTGCCCTACAACTAAAAGGTGGTAAAGTCCACCCCGTGGGACTCCAATATCCTCGTGTTGTGCAGTCTGTCACTACACCGAGCTGCTAGGGAGATTGAATTACATTAGCAGATTCATCGCTCAGCTTACCACCACTTGTGAGCCCATATTCAAGCTATTGAAGAAAGACGCGGCAATCAAATAGACACATGAGTGTCAAGAAGCTTTTGATAAAATCAAAGAATATCTGTCAAATCCATCGATGTTTGTTCTGCCTGAACCAGGAAAACCCTTGTTCTTATACCTAACAGTCCTGGAAAATTCTTTCGGCTGCGTCCTGGAGGAACACGATGTAATCGGGAAAACAAAACAAGCCATATATTATCTGAGCAAGAAGTTCACCAGTTATAAAGCTAAGTACACTTTGTTGGAAAGAACTTGTTGCGCCCTAACTTGGTCGCCCAAAAGCCGAGACAATACTTGTTGGCTTATACAACGTACCTCATAACCAGAATGGATACTCTGAAGTATATATTCCAGAAGCCAATGCCAACGGAAGGTTAGCAAAATGGCAGATCCTGCTCACCGAGTTTGACATTGTCTATGTCACTCGCACGGCGATGAAAGCTCAAGCCTTGGCGGATCATCTCGCTAAAAACCCGGTTGATGATCAATACCAACCCCTAAGCACTTACTTTCCGGATGAGGAAGTAAACTCGGTTGAAGTAATTTCAGAGAACATCAATGTCTAGAAAATGTTCTTTGATGGGGCTGTAAACATAAAAGGCGTAGGGATTGGGGCAATTCTGATCTCACCCACAGGTCAACACCATCCAGCCACAACCCGACTTTGGTTCTTTTGCACAAACAATGCTGCTGAGTATGAAGCTCGCATCATGGGTATGAACATGACGGTTGATCTGGATGTACAAGAGTTATTAATCATGGACGATTCTGATTTAATTATCCAGCAACTCCAAGGTGAATGGGAAACTCGAGACATCAAACTCATCCCGTACAGGCAACATGTAGAAGACATCAGTAAACAGTTTAAGTCCATCGAATTCAAGTATATTCCCCGATTCCACAATGAGCTAGCAGATGCACTAGCTACTTTAGCCTCAATGCTACTATACCCGGGTAATGTTCATATTGACCAGCTCAAAATTCAGGTTCGAGAAAGGCACGGTTATTGTAACGCAATTGAAATGGAGCCAGATGGTGAGCCATGGTATCATGATATCAAAAGGTTTTTGAAAATAAAATAACATCCCGAATAGGCTAGTGGAGATCTTTTCAGAAGGCTTCCAAGCAGTTTCTTTTTGAGTGGAGAGATCCTATACAAAAGAACTCCAGATCTGAATCTTTTGAGTTGTGTAGATTCTCGAGAAGATGAAAGGATCATGAACGAAGTGCATTCGGGAGTATGTGGGCCTCACACGAACGAGTATGTCCTTGCAAAGAAAATCCTCCGGGCAGGTTATTATTGGATGACCATGGAAAAGGATTGTTGCAGTTTTGTCCATTAAATGCCATTAGTGTCAGATACACAGTGACTTAATTCATTCACCGCCTTCAGAGTTGCATCCTATGTCAGTGCCTTGGTCGTTCGTTGCCTGGGACATGGATGTTATTAGGCCAATCGAGCCGAAAGCTTCAAATGGGCACATATTCATCTTGGTTACCATTGATTATTTCACAAAGTGAGTCGAAGCAGTCACTTTCAAAGTCGTCACTAAGAAAGCAGTGGTGGACTTTGTGCATTCTAATATTATTTATCATTTTGGTATTCCTAAAACTATCATTACGGATAATGCTACAAATTTGAACAACCACTTGATGAGGGAGGTATGCGAACAATTTAAAATTATGCATCGTAATTCTACCCCTTATTGGCCAAAAGCTAATGACGTCATTGAAGCTGCAAACAAGAACATCAGAAAGATCCTTAGGAAAATGGTTCAGGGTTCCATACAATGGCATGAAAAGTTGCCTTTTGCACTATTGGGATATCACACAACCGTGCGCACATCAGTTGGAGCCACTCCCTACTTATTGGTTTATGGCACTGAAGTCGTGATACCCATAGAAGTTGAGATTCACTCTTTTCGGATCATTGTTGAAGCTGAGATCGAGGATGATGAATGGGTCAAAACCAGGTTGGAACAATTGGCTATGATTGATGAAAAGTGAATGGCCGCAGTTTTCCACTTGCAGTTGTACCAACAAAGAATGGCTCGTGCCTACAACAAGAAAGTGCGGCCCATAAAATTCGAAGTGGGGCTACTCGTTCTGAGACGTATTCTCCCGCATCATGAAGAAGCCAAAGGAAAATTTGCTCCAAATTGAAAAGGTCCATACATTGTAACAAGAGTGCTGCCAAATGGAGCGCTGTATTTGGGAGACATCGAAGTAAATGTCCCCGAGACAACTGTCAATGCAGACACGGTCAAAAGGTATTATGTTTGACCCTTTACACAGCTTTAACAATCTCTGATTGGGATGACGAAGACTTTCTTTCTCGCTACCCAAACACTATCAACCCTTTGCAAACCCTTTGAGCCGGTTCCCTTTCTTTGATTACCCTCTTTGGAACCTGAAAGTTATTATTGAAATAAAATGAAATGAAAAAAAAGAGAAGAAAACAAAAGAAAATAAAAAGAAAATCAAAAACAAAGTTCATGTAATTAAACTACGTTCGACCTGATTCCGAAAGGATATATAGGCAACCTCTCTCTGGGGTTTGATCGCACCAAAACAAAAATCTACATTCCCCCAAAAGTGAAAACTGGGGCAGACGTTACAACGGTTCAGCGATGGTTCGCCCAAAAGGTTCCAAAATTATAATTCAATCCAAATTCTTTTATCTAAATCCGTGTCAAGTCCTTTCGATCAATCGGTGAGAATGTTCAAGCATCAGAGGATACAGTTACATGGATCTAATGCAACCAAAATGAGATAAATAAAATGAGAGTCTTATTGGTGAAAACCCTCACATGCACTGTAAGGCGATAGTGAGTAAAGAAATTAAAAATGAGAGTCTTGTTAGTGAAAACTCTTGGAAGGAGAAAATCAAATTGAAGTGCCTACAAGGGAAAAATAAAGTTGAAAAGGTTAAGTCCCACGTGACTAACCGTCTTGCAATGTTTGAAAAGCCAAAGGTTCCCCAATGCTCTGAAATTGAAACTTTGAAGAAAGAAGTCAAAAATTAAATGCTCACAAAGGCAAAATAAAGTTGGAAAGGTTAAGTCTCGTTACGTGACTGGCCGTCATGGCAAAAGTTCGAAAAGCCAAAGGTTCTATGGGGCCAGAAATGTAATCGGTAATCAAGAAACAACCAGTTGCCGCTGAAATCATCATCAAATGAATATGGGCTGAAATCAAATGGCTGAAACACTCAAGGCCACAAAACCAACCACTGTTTTAAATTAACAATTGTTCTTTGTTGAAAAACGAGAAACAGGTGTAATCCAAAGACAACCTTGCAAGAAGCAGATGCAACCAAAAAGGAAACCGCACAGAGACTAAAAGCAGCTCCGCAACAGCAAAACTCCAAAAAGGGAAGTCTTCTCAAAATTCTTTCCTGCATTTTACTCATTCTCTAAATAAAATGAAAAAGAAAAAAACAAAAAGAAAGAAAATTCAAAATCATGGTAGTATAGGATACACCAATCCATAGCTGCATTATCCAATGTAGGGTACACCATTCTCTAGTTGATGACCTTTTAGACATAGGGCACACCACTCCCTAGTCTCCTTACCATCATAGGGTACACCAATCCCTAGTTATGTTTTCCAACATAGGGTACACCATTCCCTAGTTGATGATATCCTATACATAGGGTACACCACTCCTTAGTCTCGTTACTAGTATAGGGTACACTAATCCCTATCTGTATTTTCCAACGTAGGGTACACCACTCCCTAGTTGAGTTGATCTTAAATGCAGGGTACACCACTCCCTGATATCTTTATTGATAGAGCTTAAATGCAGGGTACACCACTCCCTAATATCATTTTTAGACATAGGATACACCACTCCCTAGTCTCCTTACCAGTATAGGGTACACTAATCCCTAGTTGTGTTTTCTAACATAGGGTACATCATTCCCTAGTTGATGATATCCTAGATATATGGTACACCACTCCCTAGTCTCATTACCAGTATATGGTATACCAATCCCTAGCTGTATTTTCCAACATAGGGTACGCCACTCCCTAGTTGAGTTGATCTTAAATGCAGGGTACACCATTCCCTGATATCTTTATTGATAGACTTAAATGCATGGTACACTACTCCCTGATATCATTATTACACATTGGGTACACCACTCCCTAGTCTCCTTACCAGTATAAGGTACACCAATCCCTAGCCGTATTTTCCAACGTAGGGTACACCATTCCTTAGTTGATGATATTTTAGACATAGGGTACACCACTCCCTAGTCGCCTTACCAGTATATGGTACACCAACCCCTAGCTATGTTTTCCAACATAGGTTACACCATTCCCTAGTTGATGATATTTTAGGCATAGGGTACACCACTCCCTAGACTCCTTACCCGTATAGGGTACACCAATCCCTAGCTGTATTTTCCAACATACGGTACACCACTCCCTAGTTGATTGAGCTTAAATGCAGGGTACACCACTCCCTGATATCATTACCAATTTATCTTGAATGCGGGGTACACCACTCCCTGGTATCATTACTGCTTGATTAAGCCGAAATGCAGGGTACACCACTCCCTAACACCATTCCCTAGTTTTTGCTGGTATAGGGTCGCCAATCCCTAGCTGTATTTCCTAACATAGGGTACACCACTCCCTAGTTGATTTGATCTTAAATGCAGGGTACATCACTCCCTGATATCATTCCAAATGTAGGGTATACCATTCCCTAGCCACATTTTCCCAACATAAGGTACACTAATCCTTAGTTGAGACATCATTTAAACAATCAGGGTACACAATTCTCAAAGAATCATATTTTCCCTGGGTACACCAATCCCGACCTTTTATTGCTTTCAATCATGAAGTAGTATAGAGTTTTGTTACAAATAGCTCACGAAATTTTCCTAGTGAAAATTGGGGCAGAAAAATTTTGTTCATTTATTTATTTTGGTGTCTGAGCAGGTTTTACTTCGAGGCACAGAGTTCGAGATGACCAAAAGTAGATGTCTCAATCCGGAATAAAGAAAAAAAAAGAAAGAAGTAAATCCAAAATGCAGAAGCGGATGGAAAAGATGTGAACTGCTCAAGACATGACTAAAGTCACGAGCATTGAAGGTCTCTTTTTGGTTAGAAGAAGCCATAGAACAATGAACTAGCACCTGCAGCTATCAAGCATCATGGTTCATATTAGAGTTTGCGTGAAGAACCAGTCAAGACTCAAGATCAAGCTTCAAAAGACTTATAGATAGGAATCTTACAACTCATAGCTGATAGGCTTGTTTAGTTTCTTTTGATTTTGATTTTGGTGTAATAAGGAGTTCAGCAAGCAGTAACAGTAGCAACAACAGTGAAATCACAGCTTTTCGGTAGTCCCAGCTACCAAAATTCCAGAACTACACTGACGTGATTCCTTTATAGCTAAGGATATGTAGGTAATATGAGAAGCAAGGTTCGATCAAACTTTTCCAAAATGCTTCCCATGGATTATCTAACGGTCAAAAATTACTCGTGATTGCTCACTTTATCTTTACCCGAAAACTTTTCATGTTCTCGAGTAAAGAGGGGCAGCTGTGAGCACCTAATTTTTGTCCTACATAAAATTATTCCTAAAAAGCCCCCAAAATAGTTTTCTAATTAGCTTAGATTTTTGTAAAAATATTTCTCTATTTGTTGTTTGCATTTTATTGTAGTTGTTTGCTTTTTTTTTTTTTTTGCCT